TTGGAGTTATTTCTGAATGAAAAAATTAGCCCCATTCTGGGTTTTACTTTCCCTGCCGCATGAGCCGAGCCATTGCTCCAGGCAGATTGCGCCGTGCGCTAGTTAGGCACGGATTCCTGCCCTGGCTCTGGACTGCACGAGGAGCTTGCTGAGTCCCAACCAGGTGGCTGAGGAACCCAGGCTCTCCCTGTTCCCCCGGTTTACCCAGCACGTGGGGAAGCCTGTTTGACAAGCCTGGATTCAGCTCCTCTCTGGCAGGCACAGAGCCACAGCTGCATGTCCCTGCTTGCAGGAGCACCCTAGGCACCGTCCCTCGTCCGTCAGGCCCCCCGAGCACACACTGCTCGTGTTGATCTGCCACTGGGACTTCGCGGCCTCATCGGCTTTGCCAGCAAAGTGCCTTTCTGAACTGCCTGTCCTGATGGGAGATCCTCCCGGTGCCTGCCAAGCCAGGGAGAACCCAACCCCAAACAGTCACGCCTGGGAGCCAGTGATATTTACCCCAAGCTGCCCCAGGGTGGCTTGGGCTCTGCAGTCCCCGCTGGCACCGCACGACAGGAACGGCTCGCAGCCACGCGGGCTGGTTAGCCTGACAGCCCCCTGAGTGCACCAGCACCAAGGGAGGAACGCGCTGGGTCAGGCCTGGGGCTGCTGAAAACAGGCCCGGCTGCTTGGCTTGGGCAAAAAAGGACATTTTGTCGACAATAAGTCATTTTTTGGCAAAAAAAGGAAAAGCTGATAAAAATATTCTGAAAAATTCAGCTGGGACAGGCACACGTGCCAGAACAGAGAAGGAGCTGGGGCCAAGTAGTTTAAAGAGCCCGATGCTGCTCCCAGCCCTCCGTGCTCGTCTGTGCTCCCGCACCCCTGCAGAGCAGAAGTGAGGGGGGCTGGCTGGGCAGGGTGTGCCGCAGCCCCCGCAGAGCTGAGCTGCAGCCCCCCCTGCCCCCTTCTCTTCAGGAAAGCCCACAGGGCCTGGGAGTCTCGCTTCAGGCTTCCTCCTCGCTGCGCAAAGGGGGCACACACAGAGCTGGGGTAACACTCGTCTTCTGCCAGCTGTCCCCGGGGCTGAGCCGGGGGAGCTCCCCGGACGACATTTCCAGGGTCACAGTGCAGAGGAATTTCTTAGGGGCCGCACAAGCGGCCCCCGTCCCGGAAGATGTCTGCCTGCAGTTCCCAGCAGCGCTGAGCAGGGAGATAAGGGAGCACGGTCCCTGTCCCTTTCGGTCTGACGTCCTGCCTGCGCTTGGGGCGACAAACGTGACACACGCAGGATCTGTGTTTGGGGCCAGGAAGTCAGTGCGCCCGTGAACACCCCGGCAGAGAGAGGGTCACCGCACTGCGAGTTACAGGCTGACAGACAGTGACGACACGGGGAACAACTAGAAATAGGAACCTCCCTCTCGGAGCACTATTTATGTAGGACCTAGATAAAAAGCATGTTCATTCCCTGCCTCCCAAAGGAACCCAACTACCAGCCTAAGGCAGGTGCGTGGCAATCAGAAGGGACAGATCTTCATCCCTTCTCCACGCTGGGCTGTTCCGGCCCCGCGGCCGGGTGCGGCCAGCAGAGCACAGGGGAAGACATGTGCCTTGCACGGTACTCACAATGCTCCTCATCATCTTGTCCCCGCCACTGAAGGTCACCGCTAACATGGAGGCACATTCCTCGGCATAGAATGGCATGGAGCCCGTCTCGTCCACCGCGCCTGGGAAAAAGTGAAAGGCATCGACCGTATGAAGCCTGTTTCGGTTTAACTGCTGAAATTGCAAGGTGATCAGCCCCCGAGGACCTGTCCTGCTAGCTGGGCTTTTTCACAGGCTGGGAGCTGGGCAGGGAAATCAGACCCAAGCCTGTATTTTTCACGGCTGGGAGAACGGGAAAGCCAGCCACAATAAATAACCTTTCTCTGTGCTTAATATTACACAGATCTTCTACCCTTCATGTAGCTTCTGCCCTCGAGAAAATGGATTAGACCTTTCTTTTCTAACACACACGATAGCAATGCTGCATTTCAGGTCACTCCCTCAGCATGGCAGTGTGCCTGTCACAGCCCCAGCGACGGAGGCCTGAATGCAGGCAGGAATTTCTTTGGCCTCCTCTTGCTCTGCAGGTCAAAAGAAAACTGCAGACTTGAGGGCTGAAGCCCAGCACCTCTACAGACTGCCATGTTCATTCCCAGAGGACAGATTCCTACTATCCAGCCAGCTTCCAGCTGGGCAGGTTTTGCGCTTTTGGGACGATCTCATTTTTCCATGCTGGGAAGGAACGAGACAGAAGACACACGCACTCACCTATCGTGACAGTATAGATGGAGTTGGCATAACCATCATAGTTGCAGTTGTCGCTGTGTTGCCCGCCGTTGCCACTGGCCACGACAAAAATGCTCCCAAAGCCCCTGCGACCCGCTATGACGCCGTGCTGCAGGGCGGCCTGCGGAGAAGGAACCGTCGCTGGTCAGGCCCTTCCCGTGCCCTTCCCTGCTGGCACCAGAGGGTTTCTGCCAGCAGCCACGGCTGGCACGCCTGGCTGTGAGCTGAGGGCTCGCCCGGACCTCGCGGCGCACCTCGCTGCTACCCCAGACACAGATGGACGCGTGTGCCTCTCCCGAGCTGCCCGCGCTGGGGGAGCGTTGGCCCTGCGGACTGCTCGCAGGCACAGGACGTGCTGGAAAGCTCTGTCCTGGCATCTCCATCCAGCAACCAAAGCCCACGCTCGAGATTTCAATAACCAGCCCTGCCAAGTACTCGGGGTGATAGCGGGGCCAGCCACAACGCCTCCGGGCCGTATTTCACCCGGCTAGCAGAGTCAGGGAGTTGTGTCTGTTACAGCCCCAACCAGACACCGAGATTTCAGAGCGAGTGTGTTACAAAGGCAGCGATGCGGCCAACGTCTGGGCTAGGGAATGGCTGATCTACAGCTTACTATGATTTTAAGCGGATTCTGTGTTAAAAATAAAAAGGAAAAGGCAACCACAACACAAAGCCTAACCAGCATTTGAATTCCAGAGGAAACACAGCAGCCTTAGCCCTCACAACTTCAGCAGGGCTCCCTCTGGAGCTGGCTTTTCTGGAGCACCAAGGCTTTCCTGCCGACAGAGGCTACCCACACGTGGCTGCTGCCCTTTTGCAAGGCCCCAGCTCCCACACAGACTTGGGCTTTGCCTTCGCTGAGAAACACAACTACACCAGCCCCGCTTGGGAAGCACATTTCCAGGCCGACACCTTGCACAGACGTCATTCCCGCCTCGATAAAGGGTATGTGTCTGACGGACAAGCAAGAAAGCAATCCGCCTGGAAACCAACCCTCCTCCTCTGCCCTCCCTTCGGCAGGTGAAGGCACATACTGCGTTGGCCAGAAAGCCCTCCAGACGCTCTGCTGTGGTAAAGCAAGCTTTGCTTGTGCTCTGTGTCCCAGAGCTTGTTACAGCTGTCTCTGCATGCAGGAAGAGAATAAATACACTTGCAGAAGTGGAAACCATTTGTCATCGTGAACTGATAGCTCAGTTGTCAGCGTTGCTCCGAACAGCACAGTAACTGCTATCTTGCGGTTAGAAAAGTACAGCAAAAGGCTGCCAAGCAAAAGAGAAATTAAGCAGAACCACATCCCAGGAGCAATGCAGTGCAGTTTTGGGGCCCCCTCAGTGACCCCTCGCTGTGGCACCGGGGCAGCGGGAGCCGGGCGCAGGCAGCCAGGCGTGTTTTGCAGCGGTGCTGCAGCACAGGCCCTGCGAGAACGCCGTAACGGCCCGGGAAGGGGCTTCAGCTCTGACGCTTCCCCCCACTGTGTCCCACTGACAGCAAATGCAGCCATCGCCCCAGCCCCTTATTTACTCCTAGCATTTGAAGGCACGCTGCCTGCCTCGAGAACCACCCTTAGCACTAGGAATGCTTGGTCTCCTGAGCAGAGAACATCCCTTGGGTTGCGAAAGTTGTCAGAATAATACCACAGGTTGCGAAAGAGCATTTTCCTGCTGGAACCAGCCTCTCCTTAGAAAGCTCATCTAATACTGCCTGAACGCTGCCCTCCCGCAGCAACGTCACCTCGCCCCACCGCACGGTAACGTGCAACACCTCCGCTGGCAGCGATGGAAGCAAACGAACGTGCGCTGCGCCACAGCAACGTCCCTCCTCGCCTGTCCGGGCAGACAAGAAACCACAAGCACCGGAGGGCTAGCCAGGGGTGACCCATGCTGCTGGGACTGTTTTTTACCTTTCCCAGTTGATGGGGGCCATCCACGGTTTTCCCATCGTCATCTGGACCCCAGCTGCAAAGAGAGACACCACGAAGTGACAGCCCCAGGAGTTGCAGACAGCAACTCTTCCTCCCATTACAGTTTTCCATTACAGTGAGCTACAAGCAGGCACCAGCTACTCCCAGCACCACGACTGGGATTGGAGGGGGCTGTACTTTCCCATCTGTCAGGCTGGCCCCTCGCTGCTGGGATATCACGGTCCTGTTTGCACTGTGCCCCTGGGTCAGATTCCAGTGGACAAAATGTTTGATTTTTATTTAACAACCAGCTTCTCACACATTCCAGTCCCCGTCACACGGCTCAGCCGGGGCTCCCCAACCACGGCGGGGGGGAGCGTGCC